AAGTCACGCACCGAGTGCGCGAGAGCGTCACGCGCTGGCACAATCCGGACAACAATGGATGTCTTCACCCTGAGACAGACAGACATCTAGGCACCCTATTTGGAGGAAGAAGAGTGGGGACAGGACGAGCGGCGATGTGCGCAGCAGCGCGAATGGTTCCCCAACCGCCGCAAGGCCGCTATCGCTTAAAGTTCCTCTGCGTCGAGCGCTTCAGATTCCCTTACAAAAGAAGAGCAGATCGCTCGCCTGGAAAAACCACCGCCGAGAACAGGAGCTACAGCTCCGCTGCTCTTCCTTCTTCACCAAAATAGAAAGGCTAAAAGTTTTTTTTTTCTTTCTTTTTCAAGTTACAGCATTTTGTTTGTGGAATAAAAATTGTTACGCCATCTTGGTGGCGTTACAAGCGCGAGATGCTTGGGCTTGTGCGCTGCGGTGGAGAAACACTATTCTTAAACACACTTGCGTAGCATGCGCTAACACAAGTGCTAAATTTAGCGCTAGCTTGCACTAAAATTGCGTACGTTATACTAAAACTCCCTAATAGCTATGATTCTTCTGGACTCTTGCATTACCGCAGAGAGAATCAAACAATCACTGTTTGCATCTTTGTAAATATTTTGTTAGCAATGCTTACATAACTTTATTTTATTTTTTAGAGCGCAGCTCTTAGGCACCCGTTTCTGGCTTGAGCGGCGTCGCTGTCGCCGTCGGCGTAACCAAGGTCACTCCAAGGTCACGTGACCCCCCAAGGTCATACCAAGGTTACGTGGCCCCCCTCCTCGAGGTCACGTGACCCCCCCCCCCCCCCCCCCCCCCCCCCCGAGGTCATGTGACCCCCCGGAGCATATTAAAGAATGAGGGGAGGAGGAGGAGGAGGGGTCTACCCTCCCCTCAGTACCCTTGCCTCCTCCTCCTTAAGAGCTGCGCTCCATTTCGGCGTTACAGGGAGTTGTAAACGGCTTTCACTTTTTTATATGGAGACATAACAGGAATTAGCATAAAACTACAATGATGCATTTCTATTTGATATATGTAAATGTTGTATGTTCTGGACAGCTCTCATCACAACTTCCCAATTATATTTGTACCTTAACCCTATGCCTGCTGATATATTTTTTCATGTAAGTCACATAGCAATAAACAGCAGCTAGATGAGATAGTGACGCAAAACTTCAGGCAAACAGGATATTTTACGTTCCGTGAGGTATTATGTTTCCTCTAGAAGCTACGCAGGGGCAGAATAATAGATTTGTGTCGTATTGGTCACTAATTAAGTGATTCATTATTTTCGCATTATTAACCTGTTAATGATGAAGCATACATACAGTTCTGCTTATGTTGCACACAAACAATACGACACATAAAGAAGCCTTGTTCCCACCCAATTTTCCGCGACGTCGAAGTCTGCCAGGTGTTCTATGACGCTAGAGCCATCGACGACGCTTCTCAAGAAAGGTGGAGGATTGGTGGCCGAGTGGGCTAGCGCACACCAGCTCAAAGCACGTGGAGTGAAAGCTTACGCTGCAAAACCCAGGGATCCTGGGTTCAATCCCCACCCCTGCCCATTTCGATTTAGATGAGCATCGTACCGGCGTGCGGTTGTGTATCACTACTGTGTGGTGCACGTTAAAGACCCCAGGCTAGCAGCCGTACTGCACTGACTAAATTGCTCATCTACAGTGGGTAACAATGTCACCATGTTCTGGCAGACTAAACTCCTGCTGTATAAACAACTAATGGCTAATTTGTTTGTTTGTTTGCTTCTCATGAGAGGCTTCGAAAAGAAAGTCTATTCAAAATATGCTTTTTTTTTTCATACAAGTTGTCTCTTCATAAGATATTTATTCAGGCAGGGGTTTCAAAGTTTTCGGAAAGAAACTCTTGAAGGGACATTCTGGTAACAAAGGGCTAGTTAGCGATCAGAGGTTAGCCCAGCATTTAAGGTCCATGAAAAGCAACAACATTGTAAATAAAGGAAAGCAAAGTCACACAAACTAAGGGACGGTGTTTCCATGCACACCAGATCATACAATGATGGTCAGGGTCATAGCTTTTTTATAGCTATGTAAAAAATATATGTGAAAGCCATATTCTTATGAGGAGCATTTAACTATAAGCTAACGTTCTAGCTAATTTTATTTTGGATATATAAAACGTTGAAGCTCAAGGCGTGCAGATTGCCAAGGTTTACCAATGGCACTTTGCACAGCTGTCAATATTACAGCAAAGCATGCACATAGTCGTAAGTTTTTCTATTTATTCTATTAAAGGTATGCAATGTATGTACACGGAATAATAAAAATTGTAATAAAAAATTTCAATGCAAAAGAAAGCTACTAAACACGTGTAAACGTGCTTTAGAGACACATTCACAAATTATTTTCTACAAAACACTGCCTATAAAATTGCGCAAGATATATAAAAATCAGTATAATTATATGAATATTACGAATGCATAAAGTTGATATGCTTAGCCGTTATTGCTTTTGTGTTATTAATGCAGAAACGCAACTGATTTCTCTAAAGGTAACAAGATTGCACCTCAAAATAAAAAAAAAAAAAGAGAAATCTTAGTTTCTGTTTTTAATTGTTTGCAGTATTTTTATTTAACTTGCACATGATTGTAAACCTGAGACTGGGGCAGAAAGAGAACACAACAGAAGGTAGTAAAGTGTCATTGTCCTCTTGTTAAGTGTCATTGTCCTCTTGTCATGTGCGTGTGTTGTTTTTTTTTTTTTGTAGAGACGGGGTTGGAGATGGGGTATATAAAGTGTGTTCAAAATAAACTTTGCAGCTGAGTTTGAGACGTTGCCTCCTCTTTTACTACCTTCTGTTGTGTTCTCTTTCTGCCCCAGTCTCAGGTTTACAATCATGTTCAACTTACACCAGCTCGCCTGCACTCTGACTATGTTTTATTTAACTTGTCATGGCAAAGCATTGAGTAACCTGCAAAAAAGAAAAACTACAAGAAACATTCACTCAAATTGAGCTGGCTTTTCGTCCTTATAGGAGATTTGCCTCACGATGTCGGCTCCGAAAAGACATTTTCGAGAACCGACAAAGAGCTCTACAGCGGTGCTGCTCTATTGTAGGCTGTGAAAAGTCGTGCGGCCTCTAACTTAGCTTTATAGTTATGTTTCCTCGTGTTGCCTCCTAAGACAGGGAAGAAGAGTGGAACACAAAAAGTAAGCCAAGGAAATCGACAGTTGGTGCTTATGTACCGTAAAATATTGGGCAAGCGCCCACTCAAAATTTAGAGATGATCGCGAAAAAATAGGGGATGAGCACTTGTCCGGTCATCAATTTTACATGTAAATGTACTATGCGTATTTCCTCAGATCTTACTAGTCTGGGTGTGGGCGCTTAATGTGGAATAGGCGGATGCGCGGTATTCTACGGTATGTGTACTGGGTATGTGTAAGCGAGGGATGATATGGTGTGAAATAAAATAAGAGGGTATATGTTTCGGCAGTAACAAAGTTGCTTCGAAAACACAAGATCTCCCGTTCCCAAAATGAAGAGGTGACCGATCGCGCAGGTGACGGTGTCAGACGGCGGCAGCCCCCCGCTGTCGTCGACCACTCAGGTGATCGTGACGGTGACCGACGTCAACGACAACCGGCCCTGGTTCCTAGAGTCATCCCACCGCTTCAAGGTGCTCGAGATGGAGGACAAGCTGGAGCCTGTTCAGCTATGCCAGGTGAGTGCCCTTCATTGCTGTCCCGGGTCCACTGGCTATTCGAAACTCCAGTGCCCTACAGATGGTGGAGCAGTAGTTCCAAGATGGCGGAAGAGATGGGGACAGGTTTTCAACATTCAGGGCAGGAGTATATCACGGGTCATGGAAATATTGATGTTCGTTAGGAAAACAAACCTGCTTTTTTTTTGTTTTGTTATTTTCCCCGTGGTTGCGGACACATCACAAAACTTGTGAAAATGTGTGGAGGGCGAGCACGTTTTGGTTGGCAGTCACGTCATTCTGTGTGGCAAAATATTTTTGTGGGTGGTGAAAGTATTGTGGCATTTGCGCTGTGCCTGGCCACCAGCGCTCTAAAACGTAAGCCGCGCAGGGTGACCGTCAGGCTCTGGTAGAGCAGCGTTCACAGTATCGATATCTCTCTGTCAGAGGCTCGCAGCTCACTGCTCACCACCGCGGTTTTAGTGCATTGCAACATGTGATATCAACGTGCGCCATGTTTACTAATAGGCAGTTTTAGCAGAGCGTAACTGCAGGCTGCCGTATGGTGGGGCAGTGTGACCAGAAGTTTGTGCTGAAACGTTGAAGCATGAATTTCACCGCATACTAGGACTGTTGCCATGTCTACAGTAGCCTGCGGTAATGGTGCGCAAGAACTGCTTAATGACACCATTGGCGTTTTTGATGTTTTATTTATTGCTGCATCAAAATAACTACTCAAATGTGCAGTACGCTACACCCATGTGCCGTGTTAATTGCGTCGTCCCTAACGACCTCGCAATAATAGACCCTTTCGAAATTACGTATAGAATATCTGCGGCTGATATTAGTTGGTCATGCACAGCATGGGGAATAGATCACGTGACTTTTTTGATGCCCAGGCATAAAAAAGTTTAAACCATACTTTCGCCCACGCGGGGTGCACGTGACCCTGTCACATGCGAGTTGGGTGGTTGGTTGTATAGGATGTGGGGGGCGGTAGTGTTGCACTCGCTTCCTCTGGTAGGGTTTACGTGAGCAAAGCGAAGTCGAGGTGGGTGAGGCCCCAGGGAGGCAGACGACGGACGTGATGTGCTGCAGTGTGTCAGCTGTGCACGCCAAAGTACTGCGCTTGCTCCGTCTGGTAGGTTTAATGAGAACAGCGTGAAGGCAACACCAGCGGGACATGCGAGATCTTGATGGGTGGACGATGAACCATGACGAGGACGAGCCGACCCGCTGAGCTGGTTGAGCAAACGAAAGTGTATGGCGTTGCTGAGAACGAAATGGGGCTTTGCAGTGTGAGCAACTGCAAAAACCTTTTGCGACGAGTTTCGTTCACCGGCACGGCCCCGTTGGATTACGTATTGAACTTCGCAGTAATGTAAACTTGTGTTTTCTTAGATTTCTGAGAGTCACCGAGCTGCTCAAACAATGGTTTTTAGCCCTTTGTTGCAGCAAGGAGTGGACTTTATTAAAGTGAATTTTCGCGGCTTCAAATCTGATGACTTCGACAGTTGTGCTACGTGCGTCCCTGGATCTCTTGGCACTGCTTCAGTGGCTTCATCAGCCCGTAGCAATGGCTGCACTCTGAGCCAAGGCAAAGCAAAGCAAATATTCAGATCTTAGGGTTTTACAAGCCAACCAACAAGGTCATCTGGCAACACCCCAGCGAAAAAACCGCGTGTTCATTTCAAAATGAGTTCGTTAATCACGATACATATTAAAAGAAAAAAAAAAAAAAAAAACCCTAGTCAAACTTAACTGCATGGTTCAATGTTGGTTGCAATGCATACCAAGAACATCCCCAACTGTATTTTGAAGTTGTGTGAACACTTCACACTATATTTCACACGGGCATGTGCAGAAAATAATCGCCGTCGAAATTCTCAAGTATTTTCAATGCAAAATACATTTTTCGAGCTAAATGAAGTTACACACATCGTTAGAACCCTGGTATCCACTTGCGCAATGGTTAACAGAGTGTACAGTAACTTTTTTTTTTTTTTCAGTTTATCGTTGCACGATCAAATGAGAAGCAGCAGGTGCAGTCAGCTGTCACGATCATGAACAGAACCACGGTGAAAGCTGGTGCCACTCAGTTTGTAGATGCAACCTTGCACCATTCAGTGGTGGTATGGTTTATATTTGAAAGGGAAATTGTCGAGGAGGATGGAGGAGGGCTTGGGAAAGCTATGTAACTGACGTCATGCCCTCCCCGTGTTCTAAAAGGAACACATTCCAGGAATGTTGTTCCTTGGAACTCCGTTCCGTACAACACTGCCGCTATGTCATAAACAATGATCATGATAGCCCCCTGTAGTTGGCGGCTTGCACTCTCGCGGACGAACAAAGGACCAGAGGAGCGGGGACGTCGGCGGAGACGTTGGCAGGGACTGTTGGCCTTGGTACTCTTCTGATCAACGTGTAGGTGCATTATGCAGTTTTCGCAGAAAAAGCGAGTGCATTAATATAGGAATTGCTGTTGCCCGCTTTGCAACAGGTTGTACGAAACGATTGCATTGTCTCCTTTCATTAGGTACTTTTCATTGATTGGATACGCTGCATATTTCAGATCCTCCGATCGCCAGCACAATCTGTGCTCAACATAACGGCAAAAGCTCCCGCTAGTAATGCAAAGCTCACGCGTACCATCTACGACGTCTAATCTTTACCAAAAGTAAAAGAGAACAGCTCACGCAACGGTGTATCGAGTGTTAGGCGTCGGGAATGGGTTCGCATTTTATGTGCTGAAAGGCAGTGACGAGGAACACGTGTATGAACACTTCCAAAAGGGTTAGCAAAGAGCTGTAGCGTATCATTCTGCTTTAGCATGCTTGTCAATGCCTTCACAAATAGAGCTGCAAAGTGGGCATTTTTTTTAGCACTATCTTAATTGGAGCATTTTCACATACTCCCGTCAAACATTTGACAGCAACTCACCCCGCCGCCCAAAAACAAGGCCCCAAATTTCCTGGAAAAAGGAAAGTTCTCTGCGTGGAATGTCATGGGGTTGGTCCGCATCTTAGCCAACCGCTTCAGAACCAGTTTTTCACAACCGCCCACGTCGATTGTGAGACTCGAGGACAAGTCTCACGATCAAAATGGGGCTTCTTTCGTGTGTGTTACAACACTTCATACATTGAAGAAAAAACGGTCGATACTTTGATCCCGATTGCTGCCACCGGGATTTCTCAATTCCGAATCTACATGCCTTTGTGATGTAGAGTTGGTGGGGTTTTCTCGCTCACTCCCTTACGCAATTTCCTTTTAGGGGCGAAGCTCCTTAGGGTCTAGCCTTGTCCGTCCGGCGTCCACGCTCACATCGATTGCCATCCCGATTCCCATCTGTCTTTTTAAAAGAAGAAAAAAAGTTTGCGCAGTCGACAGGATTCGAACCTGTGCGGGGAGACCCCAATGGATTTCTAGTCCATCGCCTTAACCACACGGCCACGACTGCGGGACGAGTGGGGGGCTCCGAGATGTGGAAGTAACTCAAGAGCTGGGGATGTCATGGATGAAACGTTGCATGTAGCCGCTCAACGTCTATACAGGAAAGGGCGCTGCGGTCAAATGCGTATATACATAATCGCATTAAACTTTGCAAGCATTGGCTTAACGTCTATAGACGAGAGGGCGCTGCGGTCAAATGCTCAAATGCGTATATAACCACGTTCCATACCACACATTCTCTTTCTGACATGGATGAAAACGAACGAAAAGCTCGACATGATACGGCTCAGCGTCTACGCAGACAGCAAGCTGCTCCGGAGACCAGGGCGCAACAAGTGTCAAAGTGTCAAAAAAAAAAAAAAAAATCAGCACCATCAGCACTACATATGAACAAAATCAGTATCTTCAGCACCACCAGAGCTTCGCCCCAATCAACATCATTCACCACGTGGAGATGCGGTCATTTCTTACCACGTTCCTGTCTTTTTTTTCTGGTTGCCTTTACTGTTTTTTTTCTGTGTCTCGTTGGTGTCGTGAGCGTCTGTGTACCATCTGTCTGATGGAGAGCCTAGATTTCAAGGAGGGAACTCCAACCATGGAAGGCATTTGCAATTTAGTGGTGGACACCTCCGGTGCAGGTGTGTCGTATGTGCGCAGGTGCGCTTTTTGGAATGGCGAGGAGGACAGCGGGTTGAAAGGCTAAGTCAAGCTTGGAGACGCCTTCGAGCCGCTGGCGCTTTCACCTCTCCCTCGCAACTTGCATTGCAAAATAAAAAAACAAAAATATTTATTTATTTGTTTTTGGATACCCCACTCTGCCCGTGAGAGCATTACAGTAGGGGAGGGGCAAACGTGAGATAAAATATGAACCGCATGCTACCTGAAGCAAGGCACGAAGCAAACGCAACAAGCTTTGAAAAGCTTGCAAACATGACTGAACGCCGCTCTGCAGATGCATGTGAAAATATAGCCCCTAAGCCACGTGATCCCTTTGGAACAGTTGGAAGCACTCTCAAATCTAGGCACACTTGTCTGACTGGCCTCCCTGGCGCCCTCCGTTGGCAGGTGCTGGCCACCGACCTGGACGAGGGCGTCAACAGGGAGCTGAGGTACAGTATCGTAGAAGGGGACGGCCAGATGTTCCACATGGATCCTGCCACGGGCGTCATCTACACCCGGTCCGCCCTCGTCAACGGGGTCAGCCACGAGCTGCTGGTGAGTGGGGTGCACAGGTTGCGCGGGCGAGCACTGAACCAGCGGCACATTTAAAGGGTCTCCTCACCCACCTTTCCCCAGTTCCAAGTTTCCCGAGGGTGACTCTTTTATGAGAAAAATTGCATACACCAGCTGTTTTTAAGAAGAAACATAGCTTTTGGTAAAATGTCAGCAAAATAGGTCTGGGCAATGCTTTGGCCGTGACAAGACGCGAGACCTCCACCATTGCAGCTCTGCCAGGACTTTGAAAAGTGTAGATATTACAGCTTGTCTCAAATTGAATATTGAATAGCGCAATTGTGCGGCCCTCTCGTTATTCACTGTCGTGTTTACTAAAAGGTTTCACTAGTAAGAACAACTTTTGCGACGATTGAGGACGAGTGGAAGTGAGCGGGGACAAGCGTTAATCGTAGTGCTTAACGCCGAGTTTATATACAATTTCTTTTTATCTTTTTTTTTCTTCGACATTCTAGTTCGCTTTTATTTCTTTCTCACTTTGTAAAATAACGTGAAATTCTAAAAATAATTAGGAATTTTTTCTGATGTTTGTTTAACTAACCATACATTCCTGAACTTTTTCTAATCATCCTTAATTTCGCACTACTGACCACATCTTTCTCGTCTTTTTCATGCCTATGAAAAGGTGAGTTGCTAGTTAGCACTTGTCCTCTTCGCTTCTACTTTTTTCTGTCCATTGCGCCGTTTGTGCTCCTGCTATTCCCGATCGAGGAGCCCAACAATGCACGTCGGTTTAAGATTGTGCCAAAATCATCGACGCCTACAGCCAGCAAACTCCCCATGCGACCTGCGCAGGTTAAGGTATCCGACCAGGGGGAGCCCCCGCTGCATGCCACCTCCAAGGTGCTGCTGAACGTGGTGTCTCGGCCGGAGAACTCGCTGCACCCTCCCCAGATCCAGGAGGTGGAGGTGTTTCCCACAATCGAGAGCGACAAAGTGGGCCACGTGGTGGCCACGGTCAGGGCCGGCGACTCGGACGGGGACCTTGTCTGGTACAACATTGTTGGTGAGGACCCCCCCTCCCAAACCGTAATGCCTGCCTTCTAAGCACGTACGGTACAGATTCGTTAAAACGGACCTTGATAGTGATGGAGATTTCGGTCTGTTGTAAAAGGAAGTACTATGCGGAACGCAGATACTCCTTCTACAGACTTTGATGTGGACTGCGAGTGCGTTATGACTATGATTCAGTGTTTTTGAGGTTTATTTCTTGTAAAATTCGGAAGGCGTTTTTCGAAGTTAATGTTTTGCTGAAAATTTGGGGTTTATTAGAGTTTATTCTTGTTAGATCCCCATTGCTTTTTGATATTCAGAGTTTATTTTACCGTGTTCCTAATTTTAAAAAATTCAAAAATGAAGTGATTAAAGTTTGGGTACCATGGCCTGGTTGTCCTGAAGAAACCTTCACGAGCTAAGAGAGAAACCCCTTTTGTCGGTAGTTCCAGATTTCGAAGGAAACTAAAGTGACATCTCGTCAAGACCACTGACCCTGTGCTCTTATAAAGTTTATTCGTGAAACACCGTCTTCTTTGCTTGTATTTTGTTCTCAACCTTGAAATTTTTAGTTTTTTTTTTTTTAAATAAATTCGAGTCCATGAAAAATTTACCGAGAAGTGTTTTTTCGAATTTTTTTCAGACTTATTCAAAAACACGGAACCTTAATTATAACTAACCAGTGAGACTGACAAAATGCGAACGGATATTACAAGAAAAGAACTACCGTAAAGTTCCGACGAACGCCTGCGCCCGAGAGTTCGCCCATCCCGTTTTTTTCTGGCTGAATGTCCTTAGCATAAAAATTCCGAACCATCGCACACCCCCCCGACACCCACCGGATATCGGTCACTTGATGTCCGGTACGAGCGAGGAGCGTGTTTGCCACAAGTTCTCTCACGTTTATCGCAGTGACGCAATTGCTGCACCAATTGTGCCAATGGGTTCATGCTGCTAGACGCTGTTACAATTGTCGCTGTGGGAGGCTTCCGCCTCCCACAGCGACAATCGGAGACTTTCACGGGTTTAAGGCTGCACTACTAGCTAATCATTATTCTCTCCTTGAACCTATTTAACAACTTTGAATTGTGCTTGCGTTTTTAAATTCCCACCCCCTCTGTAATGCTTTGACCTCAAGGGTATTTATTTTAAATGATTAAATGAATAAGCAATGGCAAAGCGTTCTCATTATTGACGATCCAGTCACGAGCAAATTTTGGTTCGAACTGAATTTAGAAGTACACTCATGGTACCTTGTGGACAGCTTGTGATTGGTTGACTCTTTCGTGGAGTAACAGCCGTTTTCCGCGTTTTTTTTCTCACCCTTGTCCACTAACAGACGGTAATCAAGAGGGGAAGTTCATGATTGACAAGATAGGAGTCATCAAGCTGGCCAGCCCCCTGGACTGGGAGACTACCCAGAACTACAACCTCTCAGTGGAGGTCACCGACGGCGTGGACAAGGTCACCACGCAGGTAACCCGAGGCCACAGCTACGCTGTTTTCTACATGAGAGGAACATTTCTGTGTCCTCGCGGTGGATTATGTGAAGGAACATGGCCAAACAGGAAGCTTACAGGGACCTTGAAAGAATTTTGAGGCTTGTTGTTTGGTCGTTTTTTTTTTCATAAAGCATAGAATGGGTGTCAGTTTTTGTTTACACCCTTCAGTCCTTTGTGAACCTAGTATCGACGAGACACGAGTTTTTCTTTTTGCTCTGGGAGTGACGTGCACCTATTGTATTAGTCTGAGGGTGCTTGATTAGCAGCTAAAGTGGTTTTCTTTTTACTTTTAATTTGGGTAAGTTTGCTCTTTGTAATTTTGATGCGATATACTTCCACCTCCCTGGAGCACCCCTGGTAAATTGCAGCACGATACGTTCCAAGCAGATTTATGCGTTCACTTTAAAGGCTGCCCCAAGATTCGGGTCCCCACAGTATAAATGGGCCCAGCAAAGCAGAACACCATGCAAATATAATGCCTGCAGTTTACCAAAGACAAGACAAATGACAACACCTCCTGCGATGCGCACGGTTTTGTGTTTAGGCGGGCACTTTCAAAAGTGTAGTGGCCGTCAAACGGTTAAGGGTGCCGTGCAGGGATATTGGGTAGGAATGTTTCTCATTTTACACTTGCTTGCTGGCATTAGTGGGGCCCAAGTATGCTCGCGCGCAAAGCCACTGACCAAGAAGCTTCTTTGCCGTCACGTAATTTCAGAAACAAAAGCTGACGTTTTCTTTCACTCCGTCCTTTGCAGAACATGGTGACAAAGTTGTGCGTTGTTAGCATTGCATTTCTCAGTATTTCGTCGCTACGCTTTGCGGTCCCCACGGTGATGACATTTAGAGTGGACGGGAGGACTGTGCAAGCCTATGATTTGGGCTCGCGACGATCAATTAGCCGTGTGGGAATAGTGGATTTTGTGTTCGAGGGGAGTGATGGTTTTGGACGATTATTTTTGAGTCGAATATTGAATAGTTTCTCCAAGCCTTTCATTACTGTTGCGACAAGCTTAAACGAAAACATAGCTAAACTCCTAAAGGTTGTCCTCAACCTCGCACTTGTTTGTTTATAAGCTATTTTTAATCGAGCTGTATTTATGAACTTTGACCTCAGAAAGTCTGATGTCTTGGATGGCGAGTAAACGACAAATTTGTCATAAAATTAAACCTGTAGAGATGCCCAGCTATAACTAAATGAGTGGATTTACAAATCTTGCTATATGCAATTAAAATTTCATCAATCTCAAATTGAAGAAAAAAAATGAAGAATGATGAATGCAGGTTGTCAGACACCCTTTCCAAACATATACTCTTGCATAGCAACCACAGTTTAATTTAGAAAATTTAGCTGCAATGTAGATATAAACATTCACAGTTTCTGTTTCTTTTTAAATACACCAGGTGCGCGCATGCACCATTCAGCTTTGAAAAGCGTGCCTTATTCCTGAGAACAAACTTGAGATACATGTTCATACTTTTCAAAATGTTGATTGTTGCGGTTGATTACCCTGTTAAGTGCACTTCTTACCGAGCACCGGTGCACTGCGGAAAAGCAATACCCACAGAGGTCGCTCTCGCGGCTGTTTTTTGTCTCTGCAGTGTACCCATGGCCACTTGTTCTAGCTGCAAGTTGAGGAGATGAACACTGCTCATCTTTCACATATATTTTTTCTGCAACTGCCATTGCGTGGAAAAAAAGCAAAAACAACTAACACACCTTTCATAGGTTACGAATGTCAAGGATAAAGTCTAATCCTTTCATGCCCAAAACTTTCCTTTAAATACTAGAGACCTACGTACAAACCCTGACATGGTTTTAGAACTCACAGAATAAAAAAGATCTGGTCTCCGAAAAAAATTACCTTCTTTCAAAAGCGTGTTTTCGAAATGTTCCTTGTGAGCAACATTGGCTATTTGCGGCACTACTTTACATCGAACAAATGAAAGACATTACGACATAAAAGAATGCCCGGGCGCATTTCGAATTTGTTTACACCAGTCTTTCTTCTCTCAGTTTTGAGGCCAGGGGTGCACACCATCATATTTCATATCCACTGTCAACTTTGGTTTTGAAGGACGAGTGATCTGTCTTAAAGATGTATTTCAATCCTCCACTGCAATAAAGCATTTTTGAGTTGTTGCACCTGGACAACGCTGGGCATCGTAGGGGGTAGTGGTATTTACCGAGAGTACAAAAATCGCCCCATCGCCCCTGCGGCTCTGTCAAATTGGCCCTGTCGCTCCAGGTGCTGGTGAGCATTGTGGACGCCAACGATCAGTGGCCCGAGTTCACCAAGAGCACCTTCCGGGTGGAGATCTCGGAGAACATCCCGCCGGGCACGGATGTCCTGCAGCTGAGCACCACCGACTCGGACGGGGGCCGCCGCCTCTTCTACTCCCTCTACAACAGGCAGGTGGCGCCGGTTGCGGGACTCGGTAGTATGCCTAGGTCTCGGAGTGTTTTTCACTGCTAGACAACGGTCATGTGATTTACGGGCCATGTTTGCAACACAGGCTGCGAGGAGGAGGCAGGAGTGTCGATCGTCAGTGAGTGTTTCCGCCTTTCCACCCGCTTGCCTCCTCGCTATGTGATACGTGACGCATGCACGCTTGTGACCAATTTGGCCAGGAGGCGTCTTAAATCCAGGTGTTCTAACAACGGGATAACACGCCGGAACCGTCTGCCATGTAGGCCTGGGACTTCTGGTCTACGTATATCTTGTGTAATACTCTTTCACCGCGAGTTCGAAACAATTCTGACAACGTTGCAAGAGACCATTTTTTTAATGCATTAGCATTGAAATGCTTGTTTTGACAAAAAACGGCGGTGTCTTTCGTTTGTCAGTGCTGGAGAGAGAAGGAGAAGGAGGGGGAGGGGGTGTCTAAGCGATGCTCCCATTGGTCCGAAGCACTGACGTCAGCATGCGTCAACCTCTTCCTCTCTCCCTGGTGCTGACAAACTGACAGACACCTCCGGGTTTTCTTCAAAACGAGTCCTTTTGTTTTCGGCGAAGTCACATGCACAGCTGGCGCGGAGCCAGAGAGGAGGGGGCACTGCTCAACAACTCCTAGATAACAAAGCTGTAGTGCTGAATGAGATGGTGTCATCAGAGAAGGCCAACGCTGGACACAGATCGGAAACGAGTGCTGCACCAGCACTTGGCTTTGAGTCAAGTTTGAGTCGAACGTTAATGCAATCATCGTGTCCAATCTGTGCCCAGAGTTGGCCTTCTTTGACGACGCCATCTTATTCAGCACTACAGCTTTGTTATCTAGGAGATGTTCTGCCATGGCGCGATGGAATGCGGGCGCGCTCAGTTGCCACTCTGCCATCGGCGGTTGTTCTTTGCTCTGGGTTCCTCTAGTAGCAGTGCGTGGACTCTGATGTGTGTGTGTAGTTCAAACAATGAATATGGTTCCCTCCACGAGTGATATGGGTGTGATTCCTTCCACAAGTGGTATGGATGTGGTTCTTTCCACGAGTGATATAGTGCCCATCCATATCCAAGGGCGTCATGTACTCTTACAGGCAGATTTCAGTAAAGGGGAGAAAAAAAATGACAGGAAGGTCCGTAAGTGGATTTTTGGGGAATCCGTTAGCATAACCCTTGGGAAACGCCACTCACGTCCCTTTTTGGGAAACGCTAACACTGACCCTGTAACGATGCCAAAAAGAGGCATTAAGAAATACAGGAAGCAAGAGCCAAAAGAGAATAGTGAAAGGGTCAGTCTGTGGCATTTTTAAAAGTCATGCGAATCTACGCACTATCTAAAAAGATAGTGCGTAGAATCATGCGATTCTACGCACTATCTTTTTAGGTAGTGCGTAGATTTTATCTCAGACTTGCGGCAAAATGTTTCGGTCTTTTGGGTCGAAAGGGTTTCGAGGCTGCCCGATAAAAGGAGCAGTGCGCTCTGAGCCGTCCCCGGTGGCCTTGATGCAGTTGATTGCAGTCAAACACAAATGTGCGAACCAGCCTTTTGACTACTTTGTGGGAACTTGTGTCGAAGTACAGCCGTGACGCAACATTCCGCCGCAACATTCCACCAAACTCCCAGATCCCCCACAACATTCCATAAACTCCCACAACCTTGCGTTAACTCCCATTACAATGAATATGAAGGGACTTTGAGAGTATGTTGAGCTCAGCAGAAGCGGCTAAAATAGCAGGCTGGGATATTCAGATTGCCGTGACACAGTAAAAACAGAACGAAACAGCCATAAAGTGAAAAGTTGCTCGTAAAGAAATGTTTATTCCTCTTGACACTCAAAATGAAATTACTCTTTTCTGTCTCGCACTATTTTGTCGTGTCTTGAGGGGGGACACTACCCAGAAAAAACAATTTGTGCGAAAAAGTTGATTTTGAAAAATGTCATATTTACATCCACCAACATCTAGGGAGTATTCCCAGAAAGTTCCACTAGTTTACATTGCATAGTTAATTTTTTATAAACTATTTTCGGTCCACCGATGATAAAGAAAAGTTAGAGGTTGGAGCACTTTGAACACAGTTTTCTCCGTTCCACTTTTTGGCATAAATTTCACTTTAGGAAAACCATTGTTTTGTTATTACATAACTTGGATTAATTTTTATGAGTTTTTCTGGGTTGAAATTTTAAAGGGGTTATGACACGAAAATTGAACTGATAGATTATTCTTGAAATGGAATGCTTATAGGTTACTTAGTGTACCAGACACCAAGTTACACGATTTTTAGAGTTCTGGTAATTGCAATAATCAATTTACGCATTTTTATCATTTTCATCTGGTGACCAGGCAATACTGCCCAAGTTAGTCACACCATGGTGTCCATAAACCACGTGATCATGAACGCTCCCTCATTCTAGGCACACCCATGATCAACCAAGCTCTCGCTGCTGTACGATCAAAACCGCTCACGCAACTCAGCAACCCAAACATTATTTTTTGCTTGCATACAATGGGTTCTAGCAGTATTGTTATCTCATATTTTATTTTTGGCATGTCATAACCCCTTTAAGGGGAAGATAGCTATGAGCTTGCTCTAGCCCCCGACCCGTTGACCTTCCACCCTGCATACGCCTGCGAGATATTCCCGAAAGACGGTGACCACGGCTAGTTCCGTCCGTAACTTGCCGTCGCTGGAGCTGGTCTCCAGCAGGTCGCAGTCAAAATGAACAGCTTCCAACATCTCTTGATAGCCATCACTCTCATCGCTGCTGCGATCAATGTCGAACACTTTGACAGGGCGAGCGATGCCGTAGATGTAATCATCATGGACTGGGTGCTCGAAACGCGGAAGGTAATTGAGGAAGCTGAAGCTCAAGGAGCTAAGAGAGCCAAATCTGTGAGTGCGTGCAAGGGGCACCGCACGGGAGGCTGGCTACCTCACCAGCCTCCTGCTCCGCCCGGATCCGCCCCTCCGAGGGACCCGCACATAAATTATTTTATCCAGAAAACTATCGCGCCATTTTCAAAACAAATTTAGCAGGAATATAGGAACATACAATGGGTCCTAGCAGTATTGTTATCTCATATTTTATGTTTGGCATGTCATAACCCCTTTAAGGGGAAGATAGCTCTGAGCTTGTATTTTTTATTTTTGTCATTTTTCATACTCAAGAACCAAAATTTTGGACAAAGGATGGAAATCTAAAAAACAGTATTTGTGTTTATGTGGCTTTTTTGTCATGAAAGATGGTATAATATAGAAATATAGCTCCATAGCTATCTGCTCTGAACTGCCCTGCCTACTTCCCTTACACTTTCTTCCATACAGATATGCCTCCTTCTGTCCATTAAAACAACTTTGCGTCACACAGAAACACACATACATGCCCAGCTCATTCGTAGCACATTTTGTGTGGTTTCGAGTTAGTCGAACACGATCGAGACACGCTTCCATTCTCCCTTTAGCGCCAGCCCCGAGAGCGTGAAGAAGTTCCAGGTGGACTCGTTGACGGGCGTGTTGTCCACGCGGGAGGCGCTGGACCACGAAGAGGCTCGCCGCCACCTGCTCACCGTCGTGGTGTGGGACACAGGCACGCCGGTCAACATGCGCAACTTTGCGCGCGTCGTCGTTGAGGTGTCGGACCACAATGACCACCCACCCGAGTTCCTGTCGGCCATCAGCGAGGTGCGCGTCTTCGAGACGGCCGCCCTGGGCACTGGCGTGCTCCAGGTGCGGTGTCTCGACCGCGACCGGGGACGCAACGCTCAGATCACCTTCTCCATCGCGTCGGGTGAGTCTCCGTCTGCATTGCCCGAAAAGAGCACAATAAGAGAATGATATCTGGTTTGGACTGCTAGCGCTACATTGGGGCAAAGAATGAGCGTTTAGAGGCGCAGTACAGTCTAAGCTCGTTATAACAGACCTTGGTTTTGACCAAGATTTTGGTCTTTTGTAAAAGGAGTATGTTGTATGCAGATATGAAGTTGAGCCAATGGCGCATAGAGGAACACCAACCGAACTTCACAAATCGGTATGTTATATCCAAATGTCTGTTGTAACCAGGTCTGTTATAATGAGCTTAGACTGTATTTATTTTTGTGGTGAGAATAAACTCTACCATAAATTCGCGAGTGTAAAGATACCTATGTTCTTTATGTATTTTCCTAGTGTTACAAAATTGAGGGGTGGGCGCTTATTGTAGAATGGGTGGATGCTCAATATTTTACTGTGCTCTCTTTTTTTTTTTGGGGGGGGGGGGGGGTGGGGGAGGGTGCACATTAAGTAGTTGGGGAAAAATATATGAAATAAATTAGAAATTTCTTTGCAAACCATAATTGATAGGAAAACAATAGGCTTATATGCTTGTGCTTAACGCAAAAAATTGTAGTAGTTGTGAGAATTCAATAAAAGAATTTAGATGGGAACTTAGAGAAAAATGATAGGGACCAGTGCCTCCCTTTAAAGGGATACTGAACCAAGGAATTTGGTGTTCATAATAAGTGGCGCATGTTCTTTCCACGAGCCAGCAGCCACCGGTGTGCGCGAGCACACGCAACAAAAATGACGTCAAAGACCTCCATTCGTGGTTAAGATGACAGTGAAATGTATGGGCTTCGGGCCAAAGGAGAATAAAGACAAGTTCTTCATCTACACAATGGTGTTTGGTGTAAAAGGTAAGCGATCAATTGGTCTAACAAGCACGTAGCTTTCACTTGTAGAGTTGAAAAGCCTGTCTTTATTCCCCTTTGGCCCAAAGTCCATGCATTTCACTGTCCTCTTAAGCACGAATGGAGGAGTTTCACGTCATTTTCGTTGCGTGTGCTCGCGCACACCGGCGGCTGCTGGCTCGTGGAATGAATGTGCGCCACTTATTATGGGCACTAAATTCTTTGGTTCAGTATCCCTTTAAGGGCTGCACCCAAATGCGACCTAAGCACGCGCCAACCCCCGCAGGCAACGTGGGCGGCAGCTTTTCCATCCACCCCCAGCTGGGCGCCATCACGGTGGCCAGAGAGCTCTCCCAGCAGGCCCTTCCGGAATATTTCCTCTCCGTCCGCGCCACGGACCACGGCGAGCCGCCCCTCAACTCGACCACCACCGTCCACGTCGTGGTGACTGTTGCCAGCAACGCCCCGCCACGCTTCACACCGTCCAGGCGCGGCGTCGAGCTGTTCGAGAACGAGCCTTCTGGCACGTTTGTGGCCACTCTGACCATGGTCAGCCAGACATCGCTCTACTTCGAGATCGCCGACGGCAACGACGGCGACAGTTTCCGCGTCGACCCCACGTCCGGCGTCGTCTTCACCAACAGGTCCGAATGGTTTCGTCTAAGCTCATTTTGTTGAAGCACGTTTCTGTAGAACCACTTCTTGTGGAAACATGTTTTGTCAGTAACACATTTTGTGGAAAAATCTCTTGTAAATGTTTTTGTGGAAACATTTTTTGTGCAAACATACTTCGTAGAATCACCCTTTGTTGAAATATATTTTGGTGGGAACACATTTTCTGGAAGCACATTTCGTGGAAACACGTTTCGTGGAAGTATGTTTTGCGGAAGCACATTTTGGTGGATACACATTTTGTGGAAACACCTTTCCTAAAGAATGTTTTATGTACAAGTTGTCACGGACATTTTGGTGAGTAAGGCCAGTCGGTATGAAGGGGACGTAATAAAAAACAGTGCGCCATGGACAGAACAACAGGAGAGAGACACATAGAACACACGAGCGCTGTCTCGCAACTGATATTTATGAGATAAATATCAGTTGTGAGTTGGTGTGTTCTTTCTCCTGTTGTCCTGTCCTCTTTGCACTGTTTTTCATTATGTTATGGATATGCATATCGTGGACATGCGTTTTATCAACACCGTGACATTTTGTGGAAATTCGTTTTATGAACTCTTGCAACGTTTTATTGAAAGCATATTTTTTTTACTAGAAGATTGGATGAAATAACTGTCTTCATTTTGTTTGCTGGAAGTACAGTAAAACCTCGTTATAACAAAGTTGCAGGAGCGGTCGTAATTATTTCGTTATAACCATTAGTTTGTTATAGCCAATGTCCATTTCTTCCTACTATTAGCAAGCAAGGGTAATTATGATTGCTTTGTTATATCCATTAGTTTGTTATATCCCATTTTGTTATAACAAGGTTTTACTGTATACCATAACTGTAGTAGAGCCACCCAGGTGGCTCTGACACAGTAAAGACAAATCCTCGGGCCCTATAGTTTTTTTTTTTCTTTTTATGTATGAGCGAAGTCGAAGCCACAGGCCTGAGCATGCTTCTCCAAGTGATGCTCGCAATGCATGAACGATGCATGCTTGGCAGGGATGCTAAAAGCCCCCAGCTCTCTCGTAACTTCTGCTACGCTCGCACTTAAAGTGAAATAGAGTATAATCTGAGGCTTTCAAATATGCGTGGTCGCCTCACCCCTCGCACTGCTCTACTTGAGGAATGGAGTGTCAGTAGTCTATGCGTGTCATAACCTATTTAGGGGCTCCGGATTTGTCTGAATTCTGGCAGCCAAGGCAATGTGCATGCATAGATGATGTCGACGAAACGTCGCGATATCTGGCGGCGGAACTAATGCCCTTTCAGTAATACGAACCGTCAACGAAACGATCGGTCGACAATACGAATGCGTGCACTGTCGCTGTTCACTGACAGGGTCCTTGACTACGAGGGCTGCCGGTTCTACAACCTGACGGTGGTGGCCACCAACATGGTGGGCGCCAACGCCTCGGCGCACGTGGCGGTGCACGTGCTCGACAGGAACGACAATGCGCCGCGCTTCCTGCGGGACCGTTACCGGGGCCTGGTCAGCGAGGCCGCCGAGGTCGGCAGCGTAGTATTGGCGGCACAGGGCGACGCCCCGCTGGTGGTGACCGCCGAGGATGCCGACTCGGAGGCCAACGCCCTGCTCGTCTTCGAGATTGTCGAGAAGTGGGCCCGCAAATTCTTCCACGTCGACACGAGCACGGGTGAGTCGGCGCATATCCCGCGGCTCGAAGTGTTTTGGTAAGAGGCTCGTCTCCCGACGGAAGATGCATCTTATAGGCCGGTCGACACACTTGCGTTCGCTTATGACCGAATTCTCGCAACCTTTTATAAATAGAGAACCTGCTGGCACCTTCCGTGAGGTTGGCCTGGAACTGCGCTTCACTAGTGTGAAGGTTTTGCACATGGAGGTAAGAAGCTTCTGAAGGCGACATGCTTCACCTCTGGTGGCATCATGTCGCCACCAGAAACTTCTCACCTCCATGGTTTTGCAGTATTTGGCGGACCAAATGTGCGTATTACCAATGAGAAATGGTAATTTCTAAAATTGTCAAAGGTATTTGAGAAAAAAAAAGAAAAAAAGAATGATGCACTGAAAAGGTAGAAGATTTCGGAAACCGCTCATGTTCCACGGCCACCCGGTAGATGGGGCAATTTGTTCCCTCGTCGTAAGAGGTGAGGTTTTACCGCTCTTGGTTGTAAGTAGTCGGGGGTGTGTGAACCCGCCTTATGGCTGACTCCTTGCGGCGTCCTGTAACTTGCTTCCCGTAACGAAAGAGCACTACCGGAAGACGACTGTGCCGCTAAATTGCGGAAGCCTTTGTGCTACGGAGTTTATGACATAAGGAAGTCTCTTATTCTTAGGCACATGACCACATTTCATTGCGGTACGCTTGCGCAATGTCTTCATCTAAAAAAAAAATATGCCTGCGCACCTTTTTTTGTGCGTGGCGTTCCCCGGCCAATTACTGCCGTATACGGATAGACTTTGGGAAACAATGAAACCAAAATATGTTTCATCGGTGTTCAGCTTTGTACTAACCACTGGTCGTCCTTTTAACGTGGGACGCGTCGTACAACCGACTCTCCTGCGGTGCCCCGTAACACGCCTCCTTCGACAAAAGAGTGTCGCACGGAACTGATTGCTCACGAGTGCCGTGTCAGCACTCACAGGTTCAATAAACGACGATGCATCACATCACTTGCACTCTCAACCGCTCTTTCGTAGACATAAAGTTGAGCCAATAAACAAATATTGCGAGTACTATATACGCTCGCTACAGTATATAAGGTACGTCCCACATTTGCCAATCGTTTGCCGTGAAAGACTGCCAAACAAATTGGAAAGAAATATTGCGCGTAGAGTGTGCAGCGCCGGCTCCTGGGGAGTGTCACGTCTTTGAAAAAACTACAGGTTACGAGTGCTCCAGCAAACGCCGCTCGCACTATTGAATTTTGCGAACATGTGAGGCGTTCGCATCGAGGTGGCCAGCAGAAAGGTGTTGTACCGATCTCTTTTTTCTATGTGCATTATTTTTTTTTTTAACTCGATAATCCTCTTTGAACTATTTTCGTTACTTTCCCGTTCAGCCTGTTGCCAAATGTAAGGGGCTGGGCCCCGTTAATTAACCTGCGCTGTTACAGCTTTTTCCATGTTCTTGTACCCCCACTGCGAGGTAGGCGATACACGCCGGACTTAGTCATTATCTTAACGGAACAGATGCTCGTAGATATACAAAGTGTAGTGAACCTCTGACAGCTTTACACGCCGTAATCTCACTTGGAGGATATAAAAGATGTCGGAAACAGCACTTTCATATTTTTTGTGAGGAGCAGATACCTCATTGCCCTTCAATTCTCATTGGGCATGGATCCACTGCTTCTTCTAAAAACATATCTAATTTTGTAAAATAGGACCTTGGTGAGATTCAGTGGCCTCGTATTCAACATAAATAATTGAGTAGTATATAGTCATTATTTATGCATTTAATAATCTTCTTTTCTTACCTCTTATAGGCCCTCTTTGGCCAAGTTTGGCCCTTGTCCCATTAAAATGTAATCAGTCAATCAATCAATCATTAATTCTTGCCCTTCCCCCCTCCTCCCCCTTGTGCAGGTGCACTCAGCATTGTGCACAAGCTTGACCGTGAGGCCAGGGCCCAGTACAGCTTCCAGGTGCAGGTGTGGGACTCGGGCAAGCCCCGGCTGTGTGCCCGGCGCCCGGCGACCATCTTGGTGAACGTGACAGATGTCAACGACAGCCCACCCGTGTTTGAGCACCAGTACTATAACGCCAGCCTGCTACTGCCCACCTACCAAGGCGTCCGGGTGGCCAGGGTTCGGGCTTCGGACCCGGACCTGGAGTCCCCGTTCGGGGTCCGCTACACCCTGGTGGCGGGGGACCACGAGGGACATTTCGAGGTCGGTCCTGCCCCTGGGGGGCCCACCCAGGGCGCTTGCCTTCCTAAGCTGAATTCCCAACCTTTTTTTAGAAGTGTGGCATAGAATCATCTTTTCCCGAAAGAAAGAAAAAGGTTTATAGTCAATACTTAAGTTGCCAGAACGAGACAATTTGCAGTTGGGAATGATTTCGAAACATGCTTTCATTTTGAGGCGTGGACCTAGAAATATCACCTTGTTTAGAAATAACTTCTAACCAACTCCCAACTTTAAATGTTGTGCTAACTTTCATTTTTTATAAGAATTCTTTCGATCAAAAAAACTGCTCCGACTTTACCCAACAAGATTGTTGGGTAAAATCGGAGCAGTTTTTTTTTATCATTATGATTCCCGGCTTTTGGAATATTTTTGCAAGAATTCTTTCTTTTGGTGATGTTTGCTGTTTAGCGAGTAAAAAAAATGTTTTTGGGGGAGTTTGTCTCTTTCAGCCGCAGTGCCTAACAATAACCCAGACTCCTTAGAACACGGGAGCCCCTAACCTGCAGTGGCACACCATTGTTTTTAATATCTATGGCAATTATACACCTTTCTTCTCTTTGAATACTCCTAACCTTTTTTCTTAAATTTTAAAGTCCAGCTCGAAAAGCTAAAGTAACTCTAGCCGGAAAAAGGCAAAGACGACAACTCTGGAATCTAGCTGGCACGAGCCAACTTTATTAGATTAACTCAGTTACGGAACCACTCATAGACCCTGCATGCACGAGCACTACTTCCCCCCCCCCCCCCACTCACCACCACTCGCCTCCTGTTGTTCGACACGCTAAACGGCTGCTATGGTAACTGCAGCGTATTTTATGGAATATGTGTGTACGTTTCGAAGCGCAGCGTCTAGATGGCGTTCTACCGTACTTTATGGAACACACAGTTTGTAAACAAAAATCGAGATGGCACTTCGAACAATGAGAGGCGGACTGAAGCAAGTGAGGGAAGTACCCCCTCCTTCCACGGGAGTCCCACAACTGAGGTAATCTAGTAACGTTCGCACGAGCGCAGTCACCTATGGCCTTGTCGTCCGTCTGAAGACCGGAGAAGGAGCCGGTCCAGTCTGTAGAACGCCCCGACTGCCCCAACCGTCCCTCACCCTCGCAGGTCCTCCAGGACACTGGGGAAGTGCTGGTGCGCAACCCAGAAGGCCTCCAGGACCTGTACCGCCTGGTCGTGTCTGCCAACGACGGCCAGTCTGAGACGGCCACCTTCGTCATCGTCACGGTGGCCCACTCGGGCAACGGCAACGTCCGGTTCGCCCGGGACTCCTACGAGGCCTTCATCTCTGAGAATGCGACGGAGGCGCGCATCGTCACTGTCGTCAGCGTGCTGGGCACGTCGCTCAACGAGCATGTCTCCTTCCGCATCCTCAACCCGAGCGACATGTTCGAGATCGGCCCGACCTCGGGCGTGGTCCGCACCGTCGGAAGGCCGTTTGACCGGGAGCTGGTCGGTGCGTACCGGCTGGTGGTGGAGGCGCGGAGCGAGGCCGGCGGACCCCATAACGCGGCCCACGCGGTGCTGGACGTGGGAGTCCTGGACGTGAACGACAATGCCCCCATCTTCGTCAACCTGCCGTACTACTCCGTGGTTCCGGTGGAGGCCAAGGCGGGAGACCTCGTGCGCAAGGTGACTGCGCGCATCGGCCGTTGTTATTGCGGCCACGGTACCTGCTAGATGGTTTTGTTATCGAGCATCGTTGCTAACACACTTGTTATACGGGCATACTTAACTCTTTCCTGACCACAGGAAAAGTGGCAATTTTCGAAGGATCCATGCAAATGCTTTTATTTTCCTAACTAACTTGCGTATTAAGTAATATGACAGATCAGAATGTGTCAAATTACTAGTTGTTCTACCAAAAGAATCAATGTGGAGGATAATATTTTCAAACTTTATTTTCTTGAATATACAGTGTACCTGCAGAAGGCATGTAAATGCCGAAACTTCTACAGCTATGTCAAATTAATTGACAAATAAGAAAAATTCTGAATATTAAAAATGTGCTCCACACCCGCGGCTATTGCTTCTCAAAGTGTGTGTGCTCTAACTGACACTGTCTATTTTCAGTTTGTCGTAGAGTTAGCCTCCGTAATGTGTGCTTTTCAACGAAAGAATGCTTATACTGGTGAAACACAGATGGCACACCTCACATCCCCAGCAGAATGCTTTCCTTGTGTTCTACGTTGCTTTTGTCATTGCCTCGATTGCAGTTCCCTCATATTTAGAAATTTTGTGCTCTCATGCAAATTAGACACTGTATACGAAGCAACGCACTCGCGCCAATAGCTTTGACAGCGGTGTGCACTGTGCGACGCTGTTAATGCGAATAAACGATCGCCAGTTGTTTTTTTTCTTTTTATCTAAGAATCAAAGGGCCATCATCAAAAGTACTAGCGTGTTGGAAAGTAGTAATTAGGGCACTTTACTAAGCGCTCTAATTCTTCCCTTTGCCCACCAAAACCCTTTCGAAGTAGTATGCAAAAATGTGCCAATGTCAAGTTCACACTAACTGTGTCACACAGTGTACACTGAGTATGAAACGGGGCATTGCTAACCGAGATACTTCTTCGCTCTCCCGAGCGCTCCGCTGCATAGCGGAGAAGCCTTACACACACGTGCTGGAATAGGGCAATGAAGCGCGACGCGCGCGTGTGTGCTTGTGTAATCGGAACAAGCCCACCTCGTGATGTGCCCCTCCTGCATCTTCGTTCTCCGACCCAATAAGTTCCCACCCCCCGGTTTTTCAAAGAAACCTCCAAACTTCGTTTGGGCGCTCGCTCGGTATTTCATGGCAAGCAGCTGTCAGTTGTGCGTCCCAGAGGTCGCTTTTGTCCCCCGCGGAGATTATTTTGTAACTCAAAATTCCTTCAAAGACGGCTTTCCTCTTTCCCGCCTGCGGCTTCGACGGCACTGCGCTCAACTATAGACATTGACAAGTAAAGAGTTTGGGGGAAGCTAGCTCCTCCCACTTCTTTCTACTTTAGCAAAGCCAATGCTTGAGAGGAGTCGACCTCCTCTCCAGCGTTCACTGTGCTAAAATGTAAACAAAGTGGGAGGAGCTTCCCCTGAACTCTGAACCTGTGGCCGACTATAATGAGATGCGGTGTAGTGATGTGCTTCCGTCCTAGCTGCACAGCTCTTCAGCGACCGGAAGCAGCTAGGACACTGGCGAGGGACTTGCGTTTGATGTTTCTGCATTCCCCGTAGGTCGAAGCCAACGACCTCGACCTGGGAGAGAACGGGCGGGTGCGCTACCAGCTTCGAGAGGGCGACTCCGAGCTGTTCCACGTCAACGCGGTGTCAGGGGAGATCACCCTCAGGCAGCCTCTCGGGACCCACAACACCGAGTACACCCTCGTCGTGGCCGCCGTGGACAACGGTGGGTGCCCGGGTAGGGAGTGGGAAGCACTGCGTAAGCTATAGGGTGTTTAAATACCCCCCCCTTACAAAAATACACCACTGGAGGTGTAATTTTAGTGGTGCGTTTTAACTAGATTTCGAGGCATATTTCCGTCACTGCGAAAAATGTTAATAACGGCGCTGACACGGTCAACGGCGGAAGACGGCTCAGCCGACCAAGTTAGCGAGGGTTGAAATTCGGTGTTATGACCACTATTTTAACAATGATATCTCCCGTAGAATCATGCATTCAGATCTTGCGTTTGTACAATGTGTATTTTCCCCGTGTATTTAACTCTCGACTGGCAGACTGTTAGTGAAGTACTAAGTAAATTAATATAAGGGAAGTGAAAGCCGTTGTATTATATCGAGCGAAAAAAAAAAGAATACCTCAAGTAACGTTAAACCTTTCTTTAGGAACGCAGTTTTTAGTTTAGCTTGTTCAAGTTGTGTCCTCGAGGAACATGACTCCCTCCGACATTGGTCACGAAGATTTTTGCGCTTCATAGGCTGCACGAAGAGTGGATTGCCATCTAAAAAGGAGATCCGTATGCGCTCCCATGGGGTGCGGAACCAATTGCAACAAAAGCCCCGGAGTGAATCGCGTTCTGCGACGACTGCACTCACTCGCGATGCGACGCTGCAGGCATCCCCTCGCTGGAGACGGAGGCCGTGGTGCCCATCAAAGTGGTGAACCGGGCGATGCCGGTGTTCCCGCGCCAGTTCTACTCTGTCTCTGTGCCGGAGAACCTGCCCCCGGACGTGCCCGTCATCACCGTGCAGGCCGACAGCCCCAAGGGACGCCAGCTCATCTACAGGTGGGGGCCTTTGGCGCACAGTCTACTTCATGGGCTGGTTTCCAAGTCTGGAGCGTTACCAAGTGCTGTCATGAAGACGCAGTAATGCAGCCAACTGCAGACTTGCACGCAGCGCATTACGAGCAATGTGTCACTCATACCTAGTTACTCGTACCTAGTTACTTTTTTGGTAACAAAGTGACAGCCTGGTTACAAAACTTGAAAGTATAAAACAGAGAGGACGAGGACGGGAACAGGACATCTTTCATCTTTTCCATCCTCGTCCTCTCTGTTTTATACTTTCAAGTTTTGTGTCTATTAACCAACACGCTCGTTTTCAATTGTAAGCCTGGTTAGTTTTGATGCACAATCTGTTTTATGAGTCGTTTTCTATGACACAGTTGTCATGATGGAGTATTGTAGCGAGTATCATAATGGACGTCATGAGCAAGTGACACGCTGGTAGCGTTACACAAATTAGGTTATATATACAGTTTACATATATAAAGTTAGAGCGCCTGAGCGGGGCTTGAACCTGGGTCGGTGCGGTGGCAGTCGCATACTACAGTTGAGCTTAGTTATATCACACCTGGGTATTTCGAAATATTGTTTATATTGAACAGTCCAAACATCCCCTTGAAAATCACATGGAATTGTATAGGAGCGTTGTTTTTCTGTATCAAACTCCCATGGCGGGGACGCTCGATATAGCGAACAATGCACGGCGGCTCGTCGCTTCTCCCACGGTCGAATTGCGCCCGCGGCGAGCACATAGCTCGCGTTGTGGGGTTGGCAGACCGGCAAGCCAGCATACACTAACAGTACTACGGCAGTTGCCACATACTGTAAAACCCGTAATGTTTGCGAGCCCTTAGTTGTGCAAATTTCGCGAATTAAAAAATTTGCAAAATTTAAGGGCATGCGAAAACTTTGGTTTTTAAGTGTTTCGATGCAGGTGTTTGTAATTCGCGAAATTTAATGGCTGCAATTATGTCCTCCGTGACCGATTTGCGAAAAATAGGGGCCACAAAGATAAAGGGTTTTACAGTATAAAACGCTGAGGAACCCTTCCCAGTCTTTGCATTATTGCAGTAAAGCAGTGTGAAATCCATCGGTTCTTTAAGAACTAGGACTAGAAATGCTTAATTCTTTACAAACTAGGCCTTCTAGAAAGGGAAAATGATATACAGTTAAACCTCGTTATAACAAAATGGGATATAACAAACTAATGGATATAACAAAGCAATCATAATTCCCCTTGCTTGCTAATAGTGGGAAGAAATGGACAGTGGCTATAACAAACTAATGGTTACAACGAAATAATTACGACCGCTCCTTCAACTTTGTTATAACGAGGTTTTACTGTAGTTTGAAGGGTATATACTTGTCGGCTAACAGCTACCAGACTGCGGCTACAGGGAACAAAGAACTCGTGGTTGAGACATTGTTTGCTTACCCATTGAAGAGAATAGCACCTGCTAAGGGTGGAGCTTTGTCGTACACGGGATCAGTCCCTTTCACTTTTCCGTGCTTCCCGTTCCGTGTGCGATGGGACATGTCTTGATAGCCTCGCTTGTAGACAATGACAACCTCGAGGAAGTGCTTGGTGCTCTCCTCCGCTTTCCTTGACAGATTTTTTATTGGCCATAGAACACGCACTCACACTGGATTCTTTTCAACTTCAGCATCGTGTCCGGCAACACCAACGAGGAATTTGCCGTCGACTTCAACGCAGGTGAGTGGACCAAAGCCGCTGCGTCTATCGTAGTGGCTCTCGTGACTTCCAGCACAGTTTGTGCTAACATTGTTTCTGATCTCTGACTACGAGTCTCCAGACAAAGGGGCTGTGCAATGATTTTCAGACTTTGGCCGATCGATTGCGGGAATTGTTCTATGTCACCTATAGAATAAAGAACAGAAAATGTTTCTTTCTTGCGCGCACTAGTTTTCATTAAAAAAAAAGAAGTAAACAAATCGTGGGTCAGGGTACCCCTTGACTCGCACGGTCTTTTGAGTGAGGCGAGCAACGACATCACTTGGAGTATCATATTCGGTTGTATCATCTTGTCGATTTCCCTCCTTAATTGTCTGCTTTTCAATGTCCGATTTGTCTACAACAAAGTACGGCACCCGCTTAGTTTCGTCCAAGGTCGCGGCGAGTGATTGAGGCAAGAGATGGTTTGCCACGGAAAAGATGAGAGACCATTCAATTTAATCTGTGTACTTTAAGTAAGGGCCGCAATGTAGTCATGACACAGAGGAAAGGATTTTTTTGGCTTTCGATAGATGGCACCAAAAAAATTTGCGTAGCCCGATAGACGTTGCGCCGTAGTTTCAATGACCGCCGCACGTAACTGTGGATCGGGGAAAAAAATTTTTTTTATCCTTTGCGCTTATGCAAAGAAATTGCCGTATTTTGGAGGAAGGGGGCTCTTTTTCTCTCGCTTGTGCCAAGGTAAACAATATAAAACATACGAGCTGCAAATTCTTTCGACGTGAAAATCGTTGCCCCCTTTAAGTAGGTCATTTTTATGTGATTTAAACTGCTACATTTTTGCTCATATTTACTTAGTGTTTTCTCGGCAGGCTGTGGGTTTTATTTCGGCTGCTCAGCGGTCTCACTAGCTTGCCTGAACCATTTTTTGTTTTTAAGATCTAACAAGTCTAGCGAAATATAGTTGCTATGTTTTGGTTTAACTTTTTTTTATGTTTTGAACCGTTCTGGTACAGACAATGACAAAAAACTAGGCAGTGTTGTTTTGCAAGACCCCATTTTCTTGGCTTATTTTAAGACCAAAATCACCGCGGTAGTCAGTCAGAGGCTGGTACAGCCAGCCGATTTAATCTGTGTACTTTAAGTAAGGGTTACAACGTAGTCATGACAAATGGAGTGATAATGATAATAATAATTCTTTATTTTCTGTGCCCACAAGCAACTTTTCAGTCTCCACTGTGGAATTTCAGTAGAGGCATGAAGGTTGAATTTCAGTAGAGGCACCTGTTAAGGATGAGGAGAGCTCTGAATTGTTTTTTTATTAAATGCCTCAGCTTGCAGGCTACTAAAAAAAAATATTTGTAAAATTCTTTGGTGATGCATGGGAAATGCCTACTAAATTTGAAATGAAAAGAGCCGAATTCCCAGCATCTTAGGCGGGATGGAGCACTGAATCCTACTTATCATGGGAGGGTGTTTTAAGGCAGAAAAACCTAAAGCACAGCAGCACTCGTGCATATATATAAGAACCAGATGTGTATTCTACGTAGATGCAGCTGGATGCAAAAAAGACAACTCTTCATTAGGGCAAAACCATAAATGAGCACATAGCAAATGACGAAAATATGCCAAGAGTGGGCTTGACATCTGCTTCAGTTGAGTCATATGTACAGCCTAACTGTCAGTCAAAGTGAAGAGAGTGCTACAACCTAGCTTGGAGTATTCCTGAAATTTATGTGCACTTGGTGCAAAATCTATTACAATAATCTTTCATCTCTTTCTCATTTCTGTCCTCACATACCCCAGCAAACCGAATTTCATAACGTGCTGTCGTAAGTGGTTCTGCCATTTGTCAATGGTGATGATAGTGTTAAAACATTGTTCACTGTTTTTCAGTATTTGCATTGCTTATGCATACTATCAATGTTGAGTATTTTCAGTAATTCCTTCAATGTTGACCACATCGATTGCAGTCTTTTGTATCTCTTTTGTTAAATTAATATAGGTACTTACTGTAAAACCCTTTATTCTTGCAAACCCAATTTTTTTAATGGGGCAGAAGGGTCATATTCATGACCAATAAATTTAGCGAATTCTAAGGGTGGAATTTGCCTCTCTGGACAGTAGAAATATTCACATGCCCTTAATTAGAGTTTGTAATTTTTCCAATTCACAGAATTCACAAAAATGAGAGGTTTGCAAACATTGCAAGTTTCACAGAATGTTTGAAAATAGATTTTTTCGTAACAAATATAGTCTTCTGGCTTTAATGGTTTTTATCATTTGCAGTACTATATCTGCCACTTAATTTGTTCATTCTCTGTGGCAACTATCACATATGTTTCAACATTTCACCATTGTGTGTGCAGAAAATGGTCTCACACTGAGGTTATGGGAAAGTAGGTAACAGGATATGCTGAGTTCTTATGCACCCAACTGCACTCATTGGCCCCATTGCACCTGCACAAATTGACCCACTGTGGCATGCCATTGTGCCCCCATTGTGCACTTGTACTCAGTTGCATGCTTCTGTGCCTTTCTAAGCTATTGCTTCTCTCTGCAGAGATGGTTTGTTGTTTCCTGCACTTTCACAAATGCCAAGAGATCTAGTTTTCTGAGGGTGTGTCCAGTGTTTCCAGTGCCATTGAGACAGCTTGAACAAAGAACCCATCACAGTGGCACTCTTGTTTGCTTGACCACATGTTTTGCATGAGCTAGCCCCGTCCACACAAACTACCTCATATGTAAATAAATTTTTCCATTGAGATTGATAGTCATACCTTTAGAATGTGCATGCACACAGTTCTAATGTTGCTGCACCTTAAGCAGATGTGATCAGTATGATAATATACGTAACAGTACAGTATAAACTTGTTGTAACAGACCTGGTCAGAGCAGACATTTGGATATAACATAATACTGCTTTCTCAAGTTCGATTATTTTTTCTCTCTGCATTCAGCTTATTACTTTTACAGCAGACTGAAATCTTGATCACTACCAAGGTCTGTTATAACCAATTTAAACTGTACATTAATGAAATATTGAACCTTTTTAGAGGCGCTCTTGCTAGTGTGCCATATTTCCTTTATCCCTTTTGACAAAAACACCATATGAATGAGACTGGGTGCTGAAGAAAGTTAATGTTACAATAAAAACAATTTGCTTCTCACAAATGAACTGTAAGGCAGGAGTGCAATCTTGGCATTTGTGAAATCTCACTGTGTTGGTCATATCATCTGTCTTGTTGTTTGTGCACTGTCTGTTTATGCGCTGGTGTGACCCTATCATGCTTATGTCTTCGTAACAGTCTGGAGTGAATGGAACCTGCGTTTATTTTTTATAGAGGGTCGTTTTTCACATACAAGGTTATTTTTGGCAACTGCAAAAACATACTTTGAATTTTGTTTTGTACACCTATGCTACATTTTCTCACAGCTGCTCAGAAAGCAACCGGTAAGATCTTAAATGAGCACTGCAAACCAGTTTGTAAAGATATTGCACTTCAACTATGTGCAAATTTATGCTAGTGATACTTGAAATATGTATGCAATATTTCTAAGTTATGGCTGACAGCCAGTGATAGTATAGTGTTAATGTGGGTACAGGTGTCTTGTTTTCATTTACACATTCCAGTCCCATTGCTGTTCTAATGGTCTAGAAGGACAGCATATTTAATAAGTGTGGCAGCTCCAGAAACCATTAGCTTTCCTTCATTGAGCACTCACCTATTGCCACGGTGCTTAGTAAAGAAACAAAGTCAAATGCAACCAAACATCCTCCAAATCTAATCTAGGTTAGGTACTATAGCTGTTTCAAGCTAGTATTATCCAGAAGGGAAACATGGCATGGCTACACTCTCATGCCTGTCTCCTTCACAAGGCTCTACACAACACTTGAGATGGCAGAATATCTTCTGTTCAAAGTTTTTCAACTTGAGGCACGGGTTGACGTGACTCTGGCAATTTGAGTACCATATTTCCCGGGTATGTAGTCGCAATATTTGCCCAAAATTTCCTTCAGTGTGCCTTATACAATGGTGCAACATATAAAGTATATGCATCCCTTTCTGTAAGTATATAACTATGAAAATTTTGTCATGGGGTTTAATTTCTCATCAATTCGTCAACTAGAATATTGAACTTGCTCTCACTTGCACATATATTGCTGTCTTCATACATATTTGCACGTTTTTCAATGTGCAGCTCCGCCGCATCGACCATACAAATGTAAAGGTGTGAGTTATGTACCAATCTTTTCTGAAAACAGCCTTTTTATAAAAGGCTACGACTTATAGACCCGAAAATATGGTATGTGGTTCTCACGCCTAACTGTACCTGTGTAAGAGATTTTGATGTTCCCCGTCCAGATACCTCTTTGCACTTTTTCCTTCATTGAGGGTGCAACGAAACGAATTGCGCTGCACATATGAAGTGTGTTGGCTGCAATTGCTGGTGCCTTCCTCCGTGTGTGAAACAAGGCAACGTCTTGCTTTTTACTAAACAATGCGCCCGTCTCGATGCGAACCGTGCCTGCTTTCGGCATGTTGCTCTAACACTAACACCATTTGCTCCTTAGACCCGCTAAATTTCAGCAGTAAAAAAAAAAAGAAAAGAAAAAGATTGTGTAGTTATTTTTAGAAACAGCAGTCTTTATTTGTTTGTTTATTAAAAATTTCTCAGAAGCCTATTAGGTATCATCATATGGTCTTGCAAAAATGCATTGGAAAAAATTATACTTAAATATATATACAAAAATGAATTAGTGCAGACTCATTCTTTGCAGATCAACAGAACAATATGTGCAATATCCATATATCATTGAACAGCGCCTATGTACAATAAGAACATTGGAGGAAAAAAAAAACAACAGGGTGATTTCAGATAAGATCGACCAAAGGGTGGCTGGTCGACATTTTTAAATGAACTGATGTTTTTATATGACATTGTCTAGTGTCTGGTATAAACGAATCCACACTTAGTTTTGACCAGAAAAAAAATTTGGAGACAAGAAAAATCGTAAG